GGCTTCAGGCTTACCCCAAACCCTAAAGCCTAAACCCTGAACCCTAAAGCCTAAAGCCTAAAGCCTAAACCCTAAAACCCTAAACCCTAAACCCCAAACCCCAAACCCTAAACCCTAGACCCTAAACTCTAATAGGGCTTTGTGGGGGACCCTACTACGTTCGCTTCAGAGGCCTGAGCAGATTTGGGCTCCAAGAACACCAAGAGAAAGGTGTTGAATCCCACTTGTGAATCTAGGTTCCCCTGTAACCCCCTAGTAATAAGGGTACCCTAAACCCTAAACCCCTAAACCCCTGAACCCTTTTCCTAAACATCGGTTTTTCATCAGGAAACCCCAAGAACAAGAAGGGTAAAACGGCACTACTGGGGAACTTAGGAACGCATGCAGCTCGGAGGGAGGTCTGAGAACCGTAGGACCGCAAGACCCAAAGTCCAGAACTCCGAAAGAAAACATCAACTTAGGGTTTAGGGCCTAGGGTTTTAGGGCTTTTAGTGCTTAGGGTTTTAGGGTTTGGGGCTTAGGGTTTAGGGTTTAGGGTTTTAGGGTTTTAGGATTTAGGTTTTAGGGTTTTAGGGTTTAGGGAACTTCCTCGAACCTCACAGATCTCTGTCTGATGATATGGAGAGGTCCTTGACCCTGCAGCCTTCAATACAGTGGCCTAAACAGCTACGTACCCTAAACCCAAAACCGAGAACCCCTAAACCCTAAACCCGAAACAGCTAGCCTAGGGCCTGGGGGTATCATGGATTCCAAGTATCGTCGTGAAGCTCAGGGATCCACCAACACTCAACTCTTACAGGGTCTAGACAACTCCTACATCACAACAAACGACCTAAAGCGCCCCATACCTCTGAGAGTATTAGCGACCCCACCACAACTATCCGTCCTAAATTAATGAGCCCTCTCGACCCAACATACAAATTCTACGTCAGCTACGACTAATCACCCCGTTGGTTTGTTGTGTTAATGATGCAAATGACTCCTCTGAAACGCCCAGCACGCCCCGAATAACAAAGACCCCACACCCCGAACCCTCAACCATAAATCCCTAAACCCCCAAAAACCCTAAACCACAAAAATCCCAAATCCCTAAACCCCAAAAACCCTAAACCCCAAAAATCCCAAAACCCTAAACCCCCAAAAGCCCTAAATCCCTAAACCCCAAGAACCCTAAGCCGCAAGAACCCTCCGTCCTCCCCTAAACCCTAAACCGCCCGAACTTAAAAAAGGACCCCCTGCGCGGACCTCCAGAACTCTGCCAGTTCCAAGCTCCTCCGGAGCTCGGGGTGTGAAGATTCAGGGTTTCGGGTTCAGGGCTTTAGTTTAGGGTTTAGGGTTCAGGGTTTTCGTTTAGGGCTTAGGGTTCAGGGTTTAGGGTGGGGTTTAGGGTTTAGGGTTTAGGAATCTTCAGGGTGTCGGAGTTTTTTAAGGGTTTGTAGGGACTTTTAAGGGATCCATAAGGATTCCAGGGGGTCCATATTGGTGTGAAGATTCGGGTTCAGGGTTTTAGGTTTCGGGTTGTCACAAGGGTTTAGGGTTTCGGGTTTTAGGGTGGCTCTTTCCAACGGGCTTCTTTAAGAATTTAAGGGGTTCCTTCAGCGTTTAGAAGGAGTAAAGGGCTCCTGTAATGATCCAAGGACTCCCTCAAGCGTTTATAGGGGCTATTAAGGGGTTAAGGATTTACAAGGGGGTCTACTTGGAGGTTCATGGGTGGTTACAAGTGGAGTTATATGTAGGGTAGCCATAGTTATAACGCTTAAAAGGGGACTTACAAACTCACTGACAACTACCAATGGACCTCCAAGTATAAGAGCTAAACCCCAAACCCTATAAACCCCAAACACACCTTAAACCCTAAACCCTAAACCCTGTAAGAGCCAAAATGCTTAGAAGGGATCTACAAAGCTTTCTTTAGGAGGCGGGTTCGGGATCCTTCAGGGGACTCCTTTTGAGGAGTCCTCCCAGTTGTTCTTTAATGCAGGGGCCTTAACAAGTAGAATAGGGTTTTGGGGTCCGTTATACTATAGTCATAATAAGGAACCCCCCAAAATAGTATAGCTTATTATCAAGGCCCCTATATTACCATGAAATTGTTTAAAGTTTTAGGATTTGTTCAATGCCTCTTCTAAGGCCTCCCATAAGGCTTCCTTAGCGGTTTACGATAAGCGGTAATGGTTTCTGAGTATGGGGCTTGAAAAGGTTTAAGGGTGGCAGTCTTGCTCACTGTTGTTGAAGGTTTACTTGCGGGTTCAAGAGTTTTGCTCGTCCCTAAACCCTACACCCTAACCCTAAACCCTAAACCCTAAGCCCTGAACCCTAAACCCCAAACCCCAAACCCTAAACCCTAAACCCCAAACCCTAACCCAAAGTGTCTTTTGAGTTTAGTCTTCTGGAATTAGGATTGAAGGCTCCTCCGGGTTGGGGTAAGAGATAACCCAAGAGCCTTGAAACCCTGCACCCGAAACCCGCCAAGAGCCCTTCATTCTGCAGGATACAAACAAAACCCTAAACCCAAAGCCGTAAACCCTAAACCCTAAGCCCTAAACCCTAAACCCAAAGCCCTAAACCCTAAACCCAAAGCCCTAAACCCAGAGCCCTAAACCCTAAAGTCAGAGCCCTAAACCCAGAGCCTAAACCCTAAACCCTGAACCCAAAGCCCTAAACCCAGAGCCCTAAACCCTAAAGGCCCTAAAGTCAAGAAAGCTCTACGGCCGAATGCCCAACCCCTAGATCCGACGTTTCGATTGTAGGCTTTGTACCCAGAATTCAGAAGGACGCTGTACATGAACGGTTTTGGGGTTTCGGCCTTAGGGTTTAGGGTTTAGGGGCTTAGGGCTTAGGGCTTTAGGGTTTAGGGCTTAGGGTTTGGAGTTTAGGGTTTAGGGTTTAGGGGTTTAGGGTTTAGGGTTAGAACTCTATGCCATAGCCCTGTACGAGTAATGGACACTGTCCTTCTGCGCATCCCATCCTGCGACGAGGGCAGCGACCTGCTGCGAGGGGAAGACACACACTGACGCGCACAAACAGGCACACACACACACATGCACACATACACACAGGGACACACACACACACACAAACACAAACACACAGAGACAGACACAGACAAAAACAAACACACACACACACACCTGCGCTAGCATGGCACGACCTGAGCTCGTCGTTTCGAAGAATGAACTAGTGACCCACACGACCCCCTGCTTAGCCGGCCAGTGCCGATACGGTTTAGAAGTGTAGGGTGAAGGGGTTTTAGGGATTGCGGGGTTTAGGGATTTTATATGATTGTAGGGGGCTTATGTTTTGGGGTTTGGGTATCTTGGGTTTAGGTGCCGGTACAGGCATGCACAGCGTGCGTTGATACTTTCGCTGCTCATGTATCTCGCAGCTCCGCACACTGTCTTGTATGTGCGTAGGTGGGTAGGTTTCCTGCTTCCGTCCCTGTGCTTTTGGGGGTTCAGGGTTTAGGACATCCACGGTTATCACAGGTAGCTATGACAAAGGTAACGACAAGATATCCCTCAACCACAAGCATCAAGCTGCAACAGCGCTTAAATGCCCTAAGACGACCCTAAACCCTCAAACAACAAACCCCTAAACGCACCCTTGAAGCAATCCTAAAACACCAAACGCAAAACTCTAAAACCCTGAAACCCCATGCCCTGGAGATCAGTTTCTCGGTTCCTTTCACAGTAAACTCTTATAGTCGCCCCTGTCCTACACGTCAGCAAAGATTGCTGGGACCTCCGTAGAACTGTGAAGGAACCCCATCATACCCGACAAAAGCCTTAAACCCTAAACACTAAACCCCAAACCCTAAACCCTAAACCCTAAATAAGTGACTCCTAAACCCTGAACCCTAAACCCTTAACCCTGATCAGTTCTTGAGTCGCACCTGATCGCCGACTTGGAACGGAGAGCTCTCGTCCTCGTCCTGATGCTGGGCGGATCTAGGCCCTCTCCATAAGGTCCGCCTGAAGTCGGGTTTAGAAAAGCCCCCTTTAAGGGGGTCTCCCTAATACGACCTAGAAAAGCCCATCCCCAAACCCTAAACTCCAAAGCCCTAATGCCCGAACCCTAAACCCTAAAGCCCTAAACCCCGAACCCTGAACCCTAAAGCCCTAAACCCCGAACCCGGAACCGTAAAGCCTTAAAGCCCTAGATCCTAAAGGCCTTTTAAGGGGGTCTCCCTAATACTACCTAGGACATAACCCTACACCCCAAAGCCCGTAAAACCTAAAGCCCCTTTAAGGGGGTCCCCCGAATACTACCTAGGACATGGATCTTTCTCCGGCCTGTCCAAAGTACCCAGGGCTTTAGGTGGGTTTTTTCTCGGGTTCCATGAACGGGACCTATAGGGGTTTAGGGTTTAGCATTTGGGGTTTGTTTAGGGTTTAGGGTTTAGCATTTAGGGTTTGTTTAGGGTTTAGGGTTTAGCATTTGGGGTTTGTTTAGGGTTTAGGGCTATGAGGGTTCTACAGATGTGGTTTTGGGGTTGAGGCTTCAGGGCTTTAGAGTTCGGGTTGATTGGTTGGTTGGTTGGTTGGTTGGTTGGTTGGTTGGTTGGTTGGTTGGTTGGTCGGTCGGTTAGTTGGACAGCTTGTGGGCTCAATTTGTTGGGATTTAAGGCTTATAGGATATGTAGGGGTCTTAATAATTAGCATAGCGTTTTCTATTATAATTATAGTATAACATACCCCAAACCCTATTCTATTTATGAAGGCCCCTATATTACACTTGAGGGTTTAAGGCTTCAGGGTTTCAGTTTTGGGGTCTCGGCTTCATCTTTACCTGGGTACATGGGCTTTTGATGGTAGTCATGTAGGTTGGTATTTGTGGGGGTGGGGTACACAATGATTGAGCAGATACGGCGCTAATGTGAATGTACTACTCCAAGCTCACAGACTCCAAAACCCTACAGGGTTTAAACCCTAAACCCTAAACCCTAAAATTCGGACCCTGATGAAGGTGTGATACGGACGTTGATTAACTACCTAAAATCATCCCTAAACCCTAAAAGCCTTTGCTAAACACTCTCCAGAGTCCAACCAATACTGCAGAATTCGGGCCAAAGCCCAGCCCTCAACCCTCAAGTCCGATTTATAAGGCTTCCGTGCTACGGTTTGTTTGAGGGGCCCAAGAAAGGGACCCTAATTTAGAAAAAGCACCCACGTTATCAGCAAACTTTAAACAAGCGAGGAGGGAATTAAAGCTTGGGGGGGGTCTGTCTACAAACCGAAACCCTAAACCCTAAACCGTGTCTACAAACTGAAACCCTATGAGTCAAGATACTTCGAAGACTGAAACCCTGGAAAGCCCTAGACACTCAACAGTAAACCCCAAAAACCTTCCGAACAAACTCTACATTCTATAGCACTCCAAAACCATTATCATCGAGACCATCACCACGCTTTCTGAAACCTTGATAGAGCCATATTGAACCCTACAAAGCCAGTATACGCCCTGAAGAAAATACCTTTGAACCAGCTTTCAAGCCCCACCCCCTAAAACCCTTCGAGGAATCCTTTTCAGGGACCAACCCTAAGCCCTAAACCCAAAGCCTTAAAAGAAGCCTGAAAACCCCGAAGCCGTCCTCGTCGATCTCGCTCTTCAACGACCGGGTACGAGCCTCAGATCTTTGTTTTGGGGGCTAAGCAAAAGTGGTAGGCTCAAGGCTTTTGTAGGGCTTAGCGAATGCCTATAAAACCATCATTCACCCGAAACCCCGAAGCTCTCCACTGTAAAACCATCATCTCCCCTACACTCCTAGTCCTAGACTGGCATAAAAAAACACCTAATTTCCCTTCTGCCACCTCCCAAAAAGAGCCCTAAACCCCTACAAACACCTAAAGCCTGACCCCTAAAAACTTGAAACACCCCTAATCCCTAAAATCCTAAAACCTAAACCCAAAAAACACAAAATCCCTAAAAATCCTAAAGCCTAAACCAAAAAAACAGAAGCCCTAAAAATCCTAAAACCTAAACCCCTCAAAAACAAAATCCCTATAGTACCCTTAAAGGAACCGTAGAACCCTAAACCCCAATGCCTAAAAATCTTAAATCCTAAACCCCGAACAAAAACAAAATCCCTATAGTACCCTTAAAGGAACCGTAGAAACCCTAAACCCCAATCCCTAAAAATCCTAAACCCTAACCTCCGAACAAAAACAAAATCCCTATAGT